TCAAAAAAAAAAAAAAAAAGAGAGAAAGAAGAAGACAGCGGGGGAAAGGAGGCGAGGGAGGTAAAGAAGAAGAAGGGGATTGGCGAGGAAGAAGAGCCGGCAGCCATAGCTGACCGGGGAGTTGACCGAGAGGGTTGACCGGAGGTGTTGACCAACGTTACCAGAGTTGACCGGGGGTTGACTGAGGGTTGACCGCAGAGTGACCGGCGTTGACCAAGACCGTTGACCAAGACTTTGACCAAGCTGGAGTTGGTAACATCTCGCCAAGCCCTTAGCCTACCCCCTGCCCTATGGATGTGCACATACCCCKTGGTACTTGCTGAGTACAGTCTGTCTGTCTATTCTTTCTGCATTGAGTCTCTTCTGTCCTAGGTCTTAGTACTCTGTGGATGAAGGATAGGGCTTGGATGACGAAACCCTAGTCTGACCTTGTAGGGCTAAGGCTGTGGCTGATCCAACTTTCCAGGGGGGCATAACCCTCCCAAGGACCGGTGCTGACCGGCTGGAAACGGCCGGTAGGACTCAGTGGGCCTGAACGACGGTTAGGGCTGACACACCAGGCAGTCTTTAAGTGTTGAGGGCCTGTTTGAACCACTCCCCTACCGGACCAAGTAAGGCTGAGGATCTGTGTCTGACGACTCGACTGTCCCGGAGGTCAAACCCTCCCAAGGACCGGTACATACCGGCGGGCTGCTCGGTGTGGCACAGTAGGCCGGAAAGGTTGAGTTGTGGGCTGAAAGCACAGGCAGAACCAAGCTGCTCACGCCGTCCTGTCTACAACGTTAAAAAATTATTGAGGAGTTACGGGGGATCTCCTTAAATGCCTCCTGATCAGCCACTGGTTCAGTAGTGACAGCCATAGCATAGGTCTAGGCTAGAGACTATAGTTGACAGGGTCCTTGTCAGGATTCTGTAAGTCTTAGATTGAGTCAATAGGTTTGTCAGTCAGGGGTCAGAGTCTACGTGGTGAGGTCTGGAACCACTAACCCGGTTGTACACTTATCACCATGGTTGGGACCCGTAGTGGGTTAGAGACTAGCCCCTATAGCAAGGAGCAGCAAGAAAAGATGGTCGCCTTAGTCAAAGAGAATAAGGAGAGGAAAGAGGGTGAGAAGCAGGCGAAGCTAAAGGCTATCGCAGACGAGCGGGCGGCGAAGATGAAGGAAGTGGAGGAGGAGATGAAGAAAAAGGAGAAGGCTGCTGAAGAAGAAGTGGCAGCAGAGGAAGAAAAAGAAAGAATGAGGATTGAGAGCAGAGAGGGGAGTAGTGGCACGAAAAAGGACACAGACGCTGAGATTGAGAAGAAGATCAGCGAGTGGGTTGCTAATTTATCGTTGGGGGAAGACGAGGAGGCGGAGTCATATGTGACTGAGGATGAGAAGGCCGCACTGGCCGCTGAGCTAGCAGCCATGACGGACCCGATGGAACGAAGAGAGAGGGAAGACGAGCAGAAGTTGCAATGGAAGTTGAGAATGGAGAGGGAGAAGAGAAGGAGGAGAGAAGAAGTGAATAAGATGGCCGCATCAGTGGCAAAGGTGTAGGAGTGTAGAGCGGAGGTGCTCGCCCAGCCAGATGATAAGGCCAAGTGGGACAAGTACTGGGCTACCTAAAGGTGTTGAGCAAGGCCTGGATGGAGGAGCGCCAGGCAAGCTGGAGCCAGGATGTAGCGTTGAGTGCCATGCGGTCCGGTTTCAGGGATTTTGCGCGCGAAATCGTCACCCACATTGGGGGCGGAGTCAAACAGTTGAGGGACAATGTAGGAAAGTTCTGTGAAGGCGCCATTGAAGGTGCAAAAGCTATAGTCGCTGTAGATGGCGAGGCCAGACCCCGTAAGGAGCCTGTTAAGCTCAAGTTCCCAAACGCGTACGGGGGAAAGAAGGAGGAGAACTTTGATAACTGGGAGGCCAGTGTCAACAGTTTATTTACAACATATCCTGATAGAGGAACAAGTCCTCGTGGCCTTCCAGGCCCTAAAGGACGAAGCGGCTAGCTTCGCCAGGTCCCTTGCGCGCGCAGCCAGTTGTGAAAACAACCTGGTTGCATATTCCAAAGTCACCCCCCTCTCTCAGTTCCTCAAGCTCCTTAAGGAGCGATTTGCTGACCCAACGCGAGGCGTCAAAGCCTCAAATAAGTTGCAAAGATTCCACTCACGACAATGGAGGAGTGCCAAGGCACTCAAGAGTACCATGGACGACTTGGTAGCCGTCCCGGACCATGGGGTCACTGAGCCCCAGCTGGTCCAGTTGTTTTATCGTGTCATTCCAGAGGCCCTACGCGGGCATTTCTTTGACAAGTCTCAGCAGGCCGGCATCACTTACGATGCATTGAGTAGAGAAGTCGTCCTGTATGAGTCGAAGTCTATGCCAGTTACCACTTTTTGGCATAAGGACCTGGAGAAGGGGAAGAAGTGAAAGAATCGTACTATCTCAGGCCAAGTAAAGGCCAAGGATCACATGATCCTGACGTTAGAGGA